AATAATATTAACAATGCACCACTTTGCCTATTCCCTAAGGGAATATTATTATCAGAAGTTTTAAAAAATATTAACGTCGCTATATTTACAAAGGTATTATTAGTTCAATAAAATTACGCTATGTAGCCGTTTGACGTCATAGAATGAAATAATATCGAATACCCGTAAGGGTCAAAGTTCGACAATAGCAGTGTTTGTGAAATCGACACGGAAATATTGAATTAAAAATGAATTTCTTAGTAATACTTGTATCTGTTAAATAATCATAAAAAGAGAACAAAGGTAACATTTATACATTTCAATAATATGTTCATTGTCATATATATAGGGCATACATCTTTACTAATATTGTGTAAATGTGAAAGTTAGTTTATTTTTTCTTTACCTTTTAGCATTTCAACGGCTTAACCAATCTCTTTGAAATATATATATATACACGTACTACATACGACGGAGAAGGCTACTAAATTGATTAATATATATCTCGATTACACCGAAGAAGTTGCGGGTAAAAGAAAGCGATAATATAAGAGTTTATAAAACAAATACTTTTCGCGTTTTTAATAAACTACAAATGTTAATAGTTGCATTAAAATGCAAATGCAATGTAACATTTTAGTAACAATGTTTCTACTTAATAAAGAAAGGAAAAAATGAAAAATGATAATTGCCCGATAGAGCATTGTGGAAACCAATGGTTTTTAATATCCTATCTGCACCTATAAATTTTACAATGAATTTTATAGAAAGTATGTCTACTTGAATTAATTTTTGAAAATAATAACATGAGCAAATAGTCATTATAATAATCCTCAGTAACATTAACATCTGCTATGGACAGTTTGAGATATAATTTTGACAATATTAATATTATACAGATATAAATGTTCGTCTAAAGTCGCCAAAAAATAATTACTGCATGACATAATTTATATTAATTATTATTTATATAATTACTATAATTTATAGTATTTATTGTTTTCGACGATTGAAGAAGAAAGTTTATGTTCTGTATTTAAAAAGAAAAAATGTATCAGACCAACACGTCAGTAAACAATAACCAGTACAAAGAAATTATTAGGTATCAAGTCAAAACGTTTAAAATTTGCGAAAATATCGCAAAACATAAACACAAAAAAGAATACAAAACGATTTAGACCTTTTTTTAAAAATCCTTTAATGAATGAATAATTCTTTTTTGATAAGCAAATAATTGAAATTTACTTTTGTCTAAAATGTTTTTATGTAAGATTACATAGAATTAAACGATGGGTTAATTTTAAGCGAATACTATTTAAAGAATAAATTAATAATTAATTAATATGTTAATTGATATGGCAACCAACTAATTTCTATTGCTTTGTAATTAGCATTATCTTATGGTATTTGTTAATAAATTATTTGCAACTAATCTTGCAAATAATTTGTAGAGCAATGAAGTTAAAGGAAGCATCTCGTTGTTCATAATTTTAGAAACAGGATGCATACTTTGATATCATAAAGCAGACATCCGGTACAATCCTGTACAATTGTTCTTTTGTGTAGATATACCTATAATATGCATATTGCAATGTTTTGCCATGTTAGATAAACAAAGCAAATATTATTTTCCTTGAAATTAAAATTAATTAGGATTAAAAATAACAAGTACATTTTGTTTCGGCAAAAAAGCGACTTCAATCGCAAACACGCATATACCGACGGCTTATCATCAATACCTCCTAACTGACATTATAAAAGAATTGTAGACATTTTTTAACTTATGGTATCTGTGTTATACAGAGAAAAAATTTTATACATCAATATATTGAGAATTTATCTTAAAACCAATTAAATTAATAATTACTTTTTGGTTTCAAAGTGTGTGCAATAAATCCAGATTTAGAAAGTATTCTGTAGCATTTGTAAAATTTTGATAATGTTAGTTAAGAGTTACTGGCGATTTACTGTCGTACACCGATTACTGATGAGATATTTTGTATACCTTACATTGAAAATATAACAATGCATTTCGCGTACCAAATAATTTTTGCTTCACAAAGAAAAACGACAGCTTTAATCGTCACGAAATTAATGTGAAGTCGGAAATTAATATTCTTGATTACAAAGATAAAAAAAAAAAACGTAAAAAAAATCGTTGAAAAATTATTATTTTCACAACTGTAATCTACGATGAATTATTTAGAATCATTTTATAATTGTGGTCGTTGGGTACGTTAAACGTAACCCACGATTCGTCAATGTTCGTCCAAGATGTCAAAAATCCAATTTGCAAAAAGCGCAAACATCACCCTTATTAATTTTTTAATAATAACGTATACCTCGATCAGAATTGATTTGATAAAAAACCTTGTACTCGTATATTAACGATCTGGCTTAATGATTCTTACAACTCTGTAAGGCAACCAATAAACAAATAATGTCCTGAGTTTTTTAATGACTACTATAAAAGCTATCAAAACATTTTTTTTTATATAACTTAAAATGGCAAAAAAGCTTATTATTAACATTTTTTAGTATAATAGGTAATGATTTTTTAAATTGTTAGTCTCCCTCTGGTATACATATACATTTTTTAGTATAATAGGTAATGATTTTTTAAATTGTTATCTTCATCATATCATCCGTTAACTGTCCGCTACTGAACATAGGCCTCCCCCGTCAGGAAGGTTTTGCCAGTAGTTGCCACGCTTGGCAAGAGGAACGCTGCTGCCCTTAATTACTTAACTATAATAATTACTTAATTAATTATTGATAAATATTTATCTCTACTTACAATATCATTCTAGTTCTCTGCTAACGTATTTTTTATGTTATCATGTATTAGTGAATTAATAATGACTGTACCTTGTTTTATATTTTAAGCTCGAAAGAATAAATGTTTGTAGGTTTCTCTTTTACGAAAACAAGGATCGTGTTTATTGTTCTTTAGCAGAACCAGTTTTTCAATATAGCCTTATTTGTATACATTTGAAGTCTGTGACAAACTATAAAACCGCCCTAACGCTGACCTTTTCCCTCGTAAATGCTCATCATTAACCCGGTTTTTCTATATTGTTGTACGAATATGTGCTGTCTAAAGTGAACCAATTTTCAGATTTAAAAACCCCTTTATCTATGTTTAGTATTAATTATTTATTATTTTTGATTATTATGTTTTCGTGTCATATATTCAGTATAATTATATTGATAATTATATATTATTGAATATAAATAAATAAATAAAATATGAGTTATCTATTTAGCTATTAACAATTTAAGAAAAAAAACCTTCCATATATCAAATTATCGTCATATAATATATTTTTCTAAGTAGCCAGTAAATTACGATGTATTTTTTTTTGTAAATAACTTGTTATTTCCTAAATATATACACAGAACATGGCACAATAACAACGAATATAAAAATTTTCCATATTTTTATTTGAATTTGAAATAGTAAGATAAATAAATACAAATAAAACTTCAAACAGGCCATTATGATAATAGTAATATCATGTACCAAATACACTGTTACTGCATGTATGTATGTACCTAAGTAATTAAATGATTAGGACAATATTTAGCTACAACAGTCGTAATTTCACTTAACCTAATGACAATAAATTGATTGATAAGTTGAACGACGGGGTCTTAATCACTTAATTGGCAGATCTTTCCAGAGTATGTTACGATCAATTATTATCAGTGAGGGCAGGGACAAAACGGTTCATTTGCTATTGGTAGGATTAATTTTCGAATGTTGACCGCACCTCTGTCACGCCCTAGACGCGAACACGGCTAATTAATAGTGTTTTCGATAGGTGTGCGGGCTCATGTTACTGACGCTATCCATTAGCATGATAAGCTTACTAAGTACAGATTCTCTTGCCCTCTTCACTGACTACTGATGATATATTGCGATGTCAATCAATCTCAAAGGTTAAAGTTACCCTCCTTCTCCTCCTCCTGTACACGTACACAACATGATTAAATGCGGACAAGCGACCTTAATTGTACATTTATTAATGGATGGTTAGAAAATTTTCCTTATAACATATACCATATATATATATATATATATATATATATATAATATTTTCCTTACTATATTAATAAAATAATTATACCATTAATTGATTAAAAAAAGAAAACAATAATATTTTTATACCACACCCGTTCGGAAAATATCTATTTTTTGGCAATACAATGAAAAAAATTGAACAGTTTGACATACATATCAAATAAATTTTATTAATAATATGCTCTGAGCATATTCATGATTCATTCTTGTATATTTTGAATATATATTACCATAAAGTCAATGTTTGATGAAAACATATATACTGAAAGAATATTTTTAATCTACTATTTATTGTCAAAAACTATAGTAAAATTATATAAATTCTTTTGTCACGTGGCCTTACGTCAAAACAAAATTAGAAATTTTGATTTCAAATTCGCACAAAAAAAAAATATTTTGCCCTAACTTGACTTTGCGTGTTTATTATAATTTCTATTCAGTTTGACGAGTCTAAAATTTAATTTAAATACAGAATATATCTTCGAGTACTCAAAGCAACAGTCAAATTTTAACATCACTAGCGATGATAGAAAATCAATATGTAATTAGTAATAATCACCTGCTGGTAATATCGAAATAATAAAACATATTGTTTATACTTGTTTGTTAGTCATAATAATGATCTTATAAAGTTTTAGATTTTTTTTATAAGTGTGGTATAAAAAATATTATGTTTAGTTTGAGAGAAAGTATGTACAATTCCTAGCTCGTGTAATGTGAAGCTCTTGCCTTCAGCTCGGGCATATAACGTTACACTTTTTACTAAGTAATTGATCGCTATTTTCCATCGCTCCCTTGTTTAAATGTACTATTAAAACGTTATTGATTACAAGAGAATTCATATTTAGTCGTTCACGTAACTCGTCATTATATGTAAGAGATCTGAAAATAACGTGGTGAAAATATTATTAGGGTCTAATTGGTATTTTCAGATGCTCAAGATATGATTGGACCACAAATAAGTCCATGTCTAAATGAGATCGTTTTAGTAAAGGGTCAAAATTTTACAATTAGATGTAAAGGAAAGAGACATGTACAAGTTTAAACAACAAAATATCGAAGAAGAAGGTCTCGGAAATAAATTCGTAAAGAAAATAAGGAATGTAACCTCAGTGGACACGGAATACTCATATGAAACTGTACTCGATTTATATAACGTTGATCAGTACGCAGTCGGTTATTATGCTTGCTACGATGACACCGTCAACGAGACTGACATACTAAATAATTTAATGGAAGAACCACCCAACACGGAACATGTAACCTATATTTACATCTATGTGAACGGTGAGAGCAAAACGTAGACCATTGGCTATTTTACTTTATCGTCAGCATGCGTTAGCGAGATCGATTTGTCTGATGATTAAAATACTTTTAGGCACTGACAATCTTCTTGTACCTATGAGTGAAGTAGTCCAGACGAGGGACAGGAGAAGGGTCATTCTTGGATGTAGGCCTACTTCACCAGATGTTGAAATTACTTTAAAAGTGGTATGTATGAATAGTAAATGTTTCATACAACTTTAAATGTTATAATAATTCATATAAATTGAGAATTCGCTATACATATATAAAAGTATGAAAATAATATTGTAATAATATATATATCGATGTAGACTAAAAACAACAGAATAAGATCGACAATAAATCTAAAAAGAATATAAATTAAACTAATATTTATAAAAAAAACTGCAAACAAAATAGTTTTGCTTTTGCATATTATGCATGGTTTTACATGATCGCATAATAGTACGTTATTTAGCTTACTGATATTATAAGAGACTCTAAATTTATTTGCTCGAATGTTTTTAAATTAATAACATTTCACTACTGTTTAATTAAAATTGTAATCTAATAAGTATGTTAGTACTAATCAACGTTGTCTCATTAATGCTGCCTATAAGCAAAACTAACGCTTATAGCTGACAACAGAGCCAAAACTAATGCATGAAAACTATATTCTTTAAATAGCTTTAACTGATTTTAAACGGATTTCTTAATATTCAGGAAATCGCAGAATATATAGATGACTTTGAATATGAACAATATAATCCAAAAATTGGGATCACCGTTGATATTGGTGTGTTTTTGTATGGTACCATATATTTCATTTGTGCAATTTCGAAGGCAGATAAAACGGACACCAAATCATTTTACGTTCATAAACGTAGGTGAATAGATGTGTGATTTTGTTACTTATGACGTTAACCACTTTCATTTGATATAGTTCTAAATATCTAAATTCGTACTTTGATAAAATAAAATTTTGCTATTTTTTACTGTTATGTTTTCTGATGAAAGTGGTTTGTATGTTTTTCAACTTTAAATTATGACATATTTAATGTTTTTAATAATTTAGAGATTGAATTAATTATTCAATATTTATAATATAGGTCGATATTTGTTGAAAGGTATTGAGATAATGTATTTATTTTGTCTATGCCAGTTAAATTAAATTTTATTCTTATTGTAAAAAAGAACTGGATAAAAAAAAACTGTATCTCATGATAATAATTTGGTCAAATAAGCTTAATGTCGGACATAATTGTGTAAGTACACATTTAAAATAAAACTAAATTACGTTGATCCGTTTTAAGTATTATTTTAGTTCAATGTCGTGAGAATTTGGGGAAATATTTTTTAGTAGACGCTTTTATTAAATAGCAATTTATTTTTGGCTATATTGATGGATCTGTCAATTGATCAAGACAAGCTTTTATCATATGTATAAATTTTCACTATAGTGACGTAAAAGTATATATTACTGGTACTTATATTATTTCGTTTGCGTTTGTTTTTATCTACGATCCTAAATACATATATTACAATCTAATAACAACAAAAATATCAATTGTAACACTGAATAATTGTAAAATAAGACAAGTGATAGATTAAAATTTTGCTATAACAAAGAATCATTATTAAAGTAAAACTTTAATAGAGTCTATAATTCTTAAGTAGGATTGAGTTCATTTGACCAAAACATGTTTGTAGTTATTGTGCGTTGCGTTCAACTACTTTTTATTTTTATTTCATAGTATGCACAAATTAGGAAATATCAAATATACAATGAAAATATTTCTAATACGAACACATTTAAAATTGAAAAACATACTTATAATCTATTTATAGTATTCGTACTAACCATACAATATTTATTTGGCAATATCATAATAGCGGAGTAACAAGACAGCAGATTATATAAAGTTCTCACCAAAGATTGGGTTTTTAGTGAGAGCGTGTAGGCCTCCTTACGAATGCTATGGACAACGTGGAAATGACACTGTTAAGAAACCATTACGTTGTAAGTAGTACTGCGATCTTGATGTCATCTAATGAGGTAGCGTGGTGTGATGGTTTCATTCACGTTTTTTTTATTGTTGCAACTTTTTGTTCTTTTGTGGCCTGCTCATTATTCACTCTTTTCACATCTTTCCTATCCCTTTTTTGGTGTTATGCTCTATGGTGTTTCGTGTGCCCACATTAGTCAATATATGTTACATAATATTGTAGTAACTAACATACTAAAACCCAATTAATTGCATATCTATGTATTGTATTGTTACTTTAATTCCTCCGAAATGTATATGTTGCAGGGGATATTATTCAAAGTTTTAAATAATATTTTATATAACTATATTGATATTTAATTTTCTAAAATTCCCTGTCACAGATGCATGTTAGTCAGGAATTCCATTTCATTTTTACTCTAATAAAACATTGTTTTGGTTTTTGTCGAGTACAATGAATGATATTGGAAAGGATTTGACATTTTTTGGAATGAATAACGTTAACATATTATTTTACTAGCGTATAGATTTATTTTTATAAATTTATTTTAAAGGAATATTTCACTTTAATGATTTCAAAGTAATTATTCTTTATTAGTATTTTATGTAACAGTGTTACGTGCAGTATTCCTAGATGGCTGTATTTTTGTTTAGTTGCCATATTTAAAACACGTAGAAAATACAGCTTCATCGTATTTTACGAATACATATGTAGAATTTATTTACAAAGGTATTTTATATTATACATCCATTATTTATGTATCAACCCATTTTCAACAAGAAATATAAGAAAATCTGCTCTTTTTGCTGATTTTTTGTTTATAAATATGTATCGTATGTTATCGTATCATTGAAAAATGCTACAGATATTCGTATTCTATTTTTATAATATACGTAATATATAAAAAATCAGAATGTATATTTTAATAAATAAAACATATTACTAATGTATAATTTTCCAGGTCAAAATATACCAGTTGATACTCCGAAGATACACGGAACTGAATATTTCTTAGAAGGTGAAACATTTTCTCTTAACTGCACAGTTGCCTATCAAAGAAATCTTCCCGTTGAACTGAAATGGAAAATTCCAAGAAAAATGGATAAGGTATGAAGCATATGATTTTATTGTATTTAAACATATTTCGTAATTAAAAATAATAATGAAAAATTACTACCGGTTTTACTTACGTGTAATTTGGTCAAGAAAACTCGACTAGACCAGGACACTTCTCATTTCATACGCTTTGGCAAGGCCAAAGTATTAGCACGTGAGAAATACTGAGTTCCTCGGAGAAGAAAAGAGGAAATAAGTCGTCGTCCAAATTTTAAATGAGACCAAGAAAGGGTACTTCCGAGTGCCTGGGTGCTGTTTCTCTACATTTCATCCATGGTCAATGTTTTGAAGATATCGAGTTGAAAGGCGGCATTGTGAGCACTGTACGTACATGACGGATTACCAATCAGTAATAATAAAACGGCAGTGAAAGAGGACGAATATGGTGCTCAGCCGATATCCAAAGATCTCTTTAAGTCATCGTTTTTATCTGTGACGGTGCCGCAAATGCCTCAGCGGGCCGACATAACATTTTTACTTAAGACAAAAATTACATATATGAATAATTTTATTGGTAGTTTTGTTATTTTTTAATATTAATCACTTCTGAAACTCCATTTTTAATTCCATCTCTAAAATTAACATTTCACTTCAAACATAAGCCACTATACATTTCTAATTAATTTTAGTTAAATATATCTTAAATTTAGTTCCTAATACACAAAATGAAACATTTTTACTTAAGACAAAAATTACATATATGAATAATTTTATTGGTAGTTTTGTTAATTTAAAGCCCTTCATTATTAAGCCAAAAGGTTTTTATTCTAGTAAAATCTCTTCAATTTAATTCCGCAAATCATTATTTAGTTCGATGATTCATATATTATATTGTCTTTATTACTCTTTCTATATATATATAAAAATATTACCATTTACATGGAAATATTAACTCTTAATATTATTTGTTATTTTAAGAAATTCGTCACCGAGACTACTAACGAATGTGATGCTACGGAAGTGAACGTATTGTACAATACAATTACTATAGTGAATGCAACTAAAGAAGATAGTGGATACTATTTTTGTACATCTAGCAACAATTCCAATAACAAAACTAAAAAATTTGAGAAAAAATTTCGAGGTAATGTATTGACATGCAAAAGTTTTTATAGTCAAGCTTGTAAATGTAATTAATAAAATAAGGAACATAAATATATTAGATATGTTAGTCTATACAAGTCTTTGAAGTCTATAGTAAAATCATATCTATAGGCAGCAGTTATTACTTTCCAATAAGTGCACCGTGAGTAATCTTTCAAAGTTATAGCTAATCCAACAAACGTCATTTTGACCCTAGCCACTATATATTGATCCATTTTTTTTTCTCATTGGGATAAAAACTATATTATCCCTGAAATTGGAACAAACAATACATACACATTTACAAAAAATCATTAAAATCAGTGGAATGGTTTCTGCGATAAGGGTAAAGATATTTATTTATTTGCACTAAGAAAAACCAGTTTCCACAAAAAATATAGATCTTATAGTATAGCTATACCTATATTGTACACTGTATAACTACAGTGTAGCTCTAAATAATACAATATTAGTGTTCCTTTCTTACGATTTATACGCAAGAAGGAAAATAAGAAATTCTGCGTTTAGGTGCGGCCTAGGTACACAGGAGGTTTTATTTATACTTTAAGAATGTGGTTCGTATATTACATACATGAATGATTTTATTATTTTTTCAGAAAGTCCGTTCATAAATCTAAGTAAAACAACAAAAGAAGAGAATGGAATAGTTGTAACACGAATAAACCAAAGAATAATGAAATTGCAAACAAAAGTTGATGGGCATCCTTTTCCAAAATATTATTTGTATGTACTACTTCTGATTGTCATCCTAATCATCTTTCTTTTTTTTTTTTGTTAAATTATTATTATTTATTACCATGCTTTGTGTGATAAATTATTAATTTTATCTATTATCTACCATAGTTTAAGAGAAATTATGTTTGTTTGTTATCTCTTAAAGACTGCGCTCTCATATTGAATGGAGAAGTATAAAGGCTTTTTATTCTAGTCAATGAAAAAATCCGTGAAATTCATTCGCTATTTATTAAATGTTTAAGTGGAAATATTATAGTCTTCTGTGAATACAATATTTCCTGGATGAAAATATTTTTGGAAAATAATAAAACAATGCGGTAAAAAAAATAGTGACTTGTTTTTGTATGTAAATTAAAAAAATAAAACACTAGGCATATTTAGGATTGACAAAGATGGTATTAAGTGATATGTTCAGGGCTATTTGTAATAATCTTTTATATTTAGTATATCTAACAGGTAGATTCTAAAGATTTGTATCTATCGTCATTTCGGCTTAAATTATTTATTTTGTATTTATCATAATTAATAAATATATTTTAATGCTCACAGTTTACGAAATGGCCTCAATTTACCATCAAATGAATCGAAATATTTCGTCGACAAGATGATATTAAGCGGTGAAATTGGTTTAAATATATTTGACTTGAATGTGAAGGACACTGCAAATTATACTTTGGTCGCTGACAATGGTTATGTGAAGAAAAATGTTACATTTGATTTGCGGATATCAGGTAATTATTTTTTCTTATAACATGATAAAGATTACCTAATAGGAATAACATTTGAAAAGCATATATTAATTACATCAATTGAATCACTACTATTAAACAGTTAAAGCTATGGTAGATTTTTTCCAATATTATCCATTTTTTTTACTCTGTGGTAGATGTAAGGAAGTTTGCTTATTATTTATTGCTATAAATTATATTGGAAATAAAAATTGACAAGGTCCGAAATACCATACTGGCTCTGGTACAAAAGTTGTTTGTTACCAATTATTGTAATCAATTCAAGAAGCGGCAATACTGAAGTAGTATTGGTAAGGACATGGTAGTCGTATGCCAAACAATAATCCTAGCTTCCTGAAAACAAAAAAAAAAAAAGAAATCGCAGAAGATCTTATATGCAATGAAGAGATAATCTCGACTGATTTTAACGCCTGGTGCGACTTGGCTTCCAATCATGCAAGATGAAAGCAGTTGAGAAAGATCTTTACTTAATAGTGGGACTCAATCATATATACAACTATCAAGAAGATAAGATAAGATATTTTATATGACCTTATATTAATCTACAGTGCCACCAATGGTCGAGTTTTTACCCAAGTCGAAAACTACGGTAGTAGGCAACAAAGACCAGAACATAGCATTGGTTTGTGAGGCGACTGGTTATCCATTGCCGACTGTCAGCTGGTATTTAACTGCAAATGGCACAGATAATGAATTGGTAAGTACTGTTGTGGGTTATATTAAGACGACGAGGTTTGTGGAAATATATATTTCCAATGGCTTGATTATAACGGACAAAATTAAGAAATGAAAATGATCTTATATACTAAATATAAATATTGGAAAGTAGGGCGATACATTGACCTAGTACGTGCAGTGCTAAATTAACAATTATTAAATTTCTTAGTAAACCAACAATTTTATTGCACTGTACTTTTCAAAATAAAAATTATTATATATATATATATATATATATATATATATATATATATATATATATATATATATATATATATATATATATATATATATATATATCCTCTTGGTAATAAATAGAAATAAAGCACAAATTCTTACAGTTCATTTAATTTAGATATCATACTATTAAATCATATATTTACTTATTTTACTTTGTATATGACATATAACATATATAACATATTACACATTTGTATATATTATTATACATTTGTGTATAACATAATATATAACATAAATACCCAACTTCTCTTAATCCACTCACAATTATTTAACTATAGCTTCTTTAAGACTTCCATTAACAATAATTGATATATTTTATATAATGACCACGTGGTTTACTATACTTGTTCACTCTTGATATGGCAGTGAGCTCCGCTCTGTTCAACGGTTGGACAAGAAGTGCCTCCCCACCCAAATAACAATCTTTTATATCTACAGGGCCAAATTCGAGTGAACAAGTCAGCGAGACCCCGTGTTCTTACAATTTCATTACTTTTTATTCAAGTATCATGACAATAAATAATTATAAAATTAATTAAAATATAAATTTGTGTTCTATATACATTACAAGAATAATTTATTGCCAAATTTGGTATAATAACAATTTTAACGTTTTATTATATTAAAAGTAGTTAGTCTGATTTTTATTAATAAATGTAGGTACACATTTTAATACAAGATGTTTAAGAAAATTAATATAATTTAAAATAAATATCTAACACACGAATGAACATAGATATGGCTCTATAAATACAAAAGGTTTTGAGGATGTAAATTTGTTGTGAAATATATATTATATACTTTGCGAAAGACGAGGCAACAAATTCGCATAATTTGACTTTCCAGACCTAGTAATATTCTTACTATATACGATAATATCTGCTTATTACTACTAACAGAATGAATTTGTAGTCTAAGGAAATAACTGATAATCTTGGTCTAAGTTATCCGAAGAAATTATTTGATTATAGTAGATGTTATTACCAGTAGTAATAAAAAATACTTAAGTGTTAGTAATGCATTATATTATAATTTTCAGACTAAAAGTAATAACATTGTCAAATCAGTATATAAAGTAACATCTAACGTGGATGTACCCGTGAAAGTTTCCGGTAATATAACGTGTGAGGCGACTAATAGTTACGGATCTCATGAAGCGTCGAAGCAATTGCTAGTTCACGAAATAGAAGGTGGATTTGGTATAATGGAAAGTGCTACGTGGTATCCAGAGAATCATAACGTCACCCTAAAGTGTGTAGCATCTAAATATGATTATAGGAATTTGACTTGGATAGATGGAACTAATGGTGGAAATCTTACTGATTTTGGTAAGATAATATTCTATAATAAATTTATTGTTATATTGCAGCATTGTTATTAGTACATTATATGCAGACGTATCATAATATATTTTAACGTCGTTAAATGTAGCCAAGGCAAGCTAATATACCGCATTGATAAGGCCACCAGATGATTTTTTTTATGTTCACCCTTTTGAAATTAATTTTCTCCAAACTATTCGATAAAAAACACCGCTGATCTTAACATAACCTTATCTCACATATCTTCTTTACTTTTATTACTATAAATTATCGATAAATTTTTCTTCAACTACTTTATTACTTCCAAATTTCTCCAAGAGGTAAACTTTTATACACATCTAATTATGAAACAAAAATATCAAAGATAACGCTACTGGACTAGGTGTATCTGAAATTGTAGGTAAGTTAGTACAGGTAGCTACACAATCTCAATCTTGTCCCTAATTACTATAGCAATGGCCGTTTGGCCTCTTGACTATTTTAGTATCCATAGCATGTGTATCGTTGACCATTTGCCACTATGACAATTTTATTAATCGATTGTGACCATTTACGCGACGTTTTTGGTATTGTAAGTACGCTTTGTGTCTAAGTTTGTAGTTAGAGGTAACAAAATTAATACGATAATAAAACATTGCCAATTACTTTTTAAATAGAAAACTAATCCATTTTCATTATCCATCGGATACTATATAATAGTAGTTTATAATGCCTTCTTGTATTCGTGAATATTAAAGTTTAACAAAAGGAACAAAATGTTTCATTATAATGACTGATTAGCCTGTTCAATTCTCCGAAATCAGATTTTATAAAATTTGTTCAGATTTTATAAATAGACTAAAGACTATTACCAAATATTTAATTAATTAGTGACCTTATAACTATAAAAAGCTACCAATATTTTATTTGATATCAGTTCTTACATATATACCCATCTATTTTTATTACTTATGTACCTTTCTGGAGTGGGAGAACACTTGTGAACCGTTTGCAATTTGTTTGGCGCATTCGTTTGTTCGAAATAGAATTTGTTTGTTTTAAAATATATATTTTGGGTGTACCTAAGTTTTTGTTAAACACATTTCAGTAAAATATTCCGAGAGTCCATTCTCGCATGAGGCGATATTAAAAATAATCGCTGTACCACTGACCAGATCTGGTTCTTACATGTGCGTCGGATATAGAAATGATGGACGTGAAGAAAGCGAATCTATATCCATCACTATCGAAGGTATGTAGATAAAGTGATCTAAATTTAGATACCTGGTATCTTTTTTATGTATATAGCATCTACTTTATATCTATCTAGGCGTAGTTACATCAGTTTGACTTCACAACTTCTATGATAAAATAGCTTCTTTATGTTTATGTAACGTAGTTTCAAAATTATAAATTATTTATCACACAGTAGCGATTCCCATATTAGATGGTTTCATTTATTGCTTCTGCTCCAAAATGAATTTAAAAAGAACTTCTTTTGTTTTCGTACATCTAGGTAAATACTATATCTACACAATTACATGCCCTTATTCTTATAGGCGGTTGTGGTATTGTTTACGATGTTGTTTGCAAATTTTATAGAACTTTTAATAATAATAAAAAAGTATGATAAGACTCTGCATTGTGTATTATATCTAAAGTACCCCTGTATTGTACTAAACATAAAGTTCTCTGACATAGATAAGACGGACAATCATCTTATCTATCAGCTTGTGTAGCATTCCAAGTGAATTACAAAATATTACAATATCTGCTTCTTCTCTAAAAACTACTATATTATTTTTCGATCCCCCGGGATCATCGAATGGAATAGCTTGGATTCAAATAATATTGAACAGATTAGAGCTCAGTATCAACTCATTTAACATTGGACTTTATAATGTTTTTATAGTTTAAATCTAACGAAGTGTAGATTTAAAAGTGTATTGTATTGATTTCATTACAGCTAATCAAGATACCGTCATATATGAGCCAGAAATAGACCGGAATGAAGAGGTGTCAAATTATCAAAATGTTCAGTTTAGTTGCATCGCCGAGGCTGTGCCTCCACCACATATCGAATGGCTTAAGGTAATTATAAAATTCTACAACTTGGTAACAATTGAGTATATTTATGACTCGCCTCAGAATATCTCATTTATTTTGAAATAAACTAACACCATGTGGAACACTGTGATTTCGTTTAGACTAAAAAAACCAGTGAAATAACTGGCATGGTCTAAAAAATAACACTTTTTAGGCCTTAATTATAAGAACCTAGGATCTATTGCCGAGAAAATTACAATAGCATATAAAAATGAAAACGAGTGTTTTTAACTTATTTACGATAATAACTCTAATGATGAGATTATGCTGTTGAACATTTCTATAAAGTTTTCAGTAAATTGACTGCTAGCTATTTACTATTTCGTCTATTATAGCTTAAATGGAATTACTTCTATTTACTTCATTAATAGTTAGTATATATAGCTATATTTACTTCATCCCAAATCTTTCAAATGGATTTGAAAGTATATTTGTTTATTGTAACTATGTCATTTCTATTAATTAACCAGTTTTGTACTAATTCATTTATATGTCTCAACTACAATATAGGTATTGATATAATAATAATTGATTAATATTGTAAACAGGACGGCGTTTTGTTGGAGAACGGAACCGACGGCGATGTGACAATAGTGAGCTATTGTACTAATAATACATTAGTAAACTCCACTGTTATAATACTGCGAATGAAAGAAGAATACAAAGGGAAGTACGAATGCGTAGCAACCAACATGTATTCTTCAGAAGTAAAAGTAATTAATCTGCTTTTGGAAGGTTCGTATTTTTCACTTAAAAATATTATGTAGTTATTAGAGACTTAAATAAGAAATGCTAATTTGATGAATACCTAAATAGCAGTTTTTAATTGTAATGAAGTCATTTATATAGATTTAATAATGAAAACTTAGTTTATAGTTGGACTACAATTTACCAGTAGATATTATAATACAAAAGTTAACAAGGCCAATAGAGGAGTACATATGAAAACGCAAAACATTTCTTATGAAAAAAGGTCCACTGTTAACTAAAGTAAATATTATCTATGTATTGTGAGATATAAGTATTTTAGTTCGCCTAATCAAACTTCAACGGTCATAACATAATGATGCACTCCATTATGAGTTTACTTATGGATTAGATAGAGGAAACCTCATTAAAATCAAATCAGTTGCTTTGTTTGGTGCCTAATGCATAGTGATGATAAATGATTATGTGAATGTCTTTAAGAGTTTTAAAGAATTTAAGTAAACTTAGATTAGTTAAATAGATTTTCTATTACTCATTTATATAGTCCCAATAAACGTCATATACCAAATTTTAATGAATTAAGAAAAACTATCTAATGGAATCTCGAATCAGGTGTAAATTAAAATTTTATTTTATCGTATAAGATTATTGCAGTATCGTATATTTCAATGAGTAATGCAATCAACAATACATGCAAATGCTGAAGTAATTAAAATGGAGTCTATAACAACGTATCATTACGTCGTAGGTAATTTAAATAACCAAGTATTAATTGTTAATTCCAGACAAATCACCATACACTACCACTTACCTTAGTATAATTGGAGTAGTATTCTTTATCCTTATACTAATAGTAATTTATTTGACGTGGAAAATAAGAAGAGAGAAACGCTTCAGAAAAGAGTTGGCGGCAGCTGGTTTGTTGTACTTCAAGGAAGGTGTTCCTAATTCATTGAATCCAGATTTGGTAGTGGACGAGCAAGCTGAACTCCTTCCTTACGATGACCGCTTCGAATTTCCACCAGAAAAGCTTTTTTTAGGTGAATACACTTTTCTATTTCCTATCTTAGTATTGTCTATTACGCATATTGTAGTGTTATATAGAGATACAATATCCTGGAAATTTGTTATTATATTTGAAGAATATAATATTTTGCAGAATTGCATTTTTGTTTTACATTTTTGCTTAAGTTTAAAATATAATACTACAATTGTTTTTAAAAATATATACAAATTATTGGGAATAGAGACATAATTCCTTAGTCTGAATATATTCTGTAATATTTATGGTATTGTTTAAGCTTGTTGACGACGTCATCCTTATCTCGAATAGATCATTACTTTATATACTATTACAGATGGCATGAAAATAAGTTTAACAAAGGCTAAAGCAACAAAGACTTTAAATTTAATATCACATAATTTCGTAACAAAATTTCATAGCTGTTTCAATTCTATTGTTATTAAATCTTTAATATACCTTACTCATTTAAGGAAAATAAGACACAAAATAATGAGGAGAGTACTTAAGCAAATAAATAATAATTTTTACAGGCAAACAGTTGGGCGCTGGTGCATTCGGAGTGGTGTACAAAGCGGAGGCGCGGGGTATTATCAATGCTGAGGAAACTACGCCCGTTGCCGTAAAGATGGTAAAGAAGACTGCAGATAATATGTATATAAAGGCACTAGCATCAGAGCTCAAGATCATGGTTCATTTAGGAAAACATATCAATATTGTAAATTTACTTGGAGCATGCACCAAAAATGTTGGAAAACGTAAGTATTAATGTCAAAGAAAAGTTTTACTCTATTATAGTCATTAACGTAATCAAAGTTTTGGATCAATGTATGAGTGAATCTTTCGCTTGCAAAAACAATTATCAAAATCGGAGTAGTTTCGCGAAATATGATGAAAATACAATTGAATCGAAAACCTCAATTCAATCTTTTCTTGAACCTCATTTTATTTGAATTAGGATGAAAATTTGTATTTTATTTACTGACATAATACAAATTGTAGCGGTGACGATCGCCAACAGTGTACTAAACATTGTGATAGTAAACTAAATTTTAATTAACAGAATTGCGTACGAACTAGAAGATATCGCGTAATATAAGAACATAAAACATTAAGTAGTGATAGCTCAGTTGCACACCGTTTGATTTTAATTCGCAAATGCTAAAGTCAAATTGAAAACCGATGTAGAAAAGAGGTTCTTGAGTGGCGACCCCGTACGAGCAAAACGCAGTGTAGGACGACCCCTCACTAAATGGATTGACGATCTCAAGTGCATTGCAGGGAGTCAGTGGATACAGGTGGTTCAGGATCGTTCTTTATGACAGTCTATAAGGGAGGTCAATGTTCAGCAGCGGACGGATAATGGCTGAGATGATAATGATGATGATGAAAGTCAAATCTCAGTCTAAACCTCTGTATTTTAAAATGCATGTGTTGTTTAATTCATTCATTCAATTCATTCATTTTCAATTCATCGTTTTCAATGATCCAATCCTTTAGAAATGATTGTCGCTTGCTTCCCATTTCGGAGGGTATTTAAATCCTTCGTTCGATAAGCTATGTCTAGAATTCTACGTGTAGGGAAAACGAATATGACTTAGAAACTTTTGATACCAGAGAGCGACACCGACATAAGCAGTAGTAGAAGCACAAAAGATAGTGTCGAATTAAGAACCTTATCTATTGGATAACGCTTAAAAATGTATTTTAAGGTGAACTTATCGTCATCGTTGAATACTGCAAGTTCGGTAACATCCACAACTACATGCAGAAGCACAGGGATGTGTTTATCGATCAACTCACTGATAATCCTGAGAAGAACCTCGGAAAAGTCAACAGAGGGTATTCTTGTAGCAGCGCCAGTAGTGGGTAAGTATTAATAAAAATATTAATATATATTTATTTATATATGTTAATATATATTAATATTTGACTATAATTATTAAATAAATATCATTGTTCATATCACACAGCGCCATCTAGCCTAGCCATTTATCTTGACAAGAATCTTCCGATAGTTTATTTTAATTATTTTTTTCCACACAAATATTATGTATATAGAAAACAAATATATTCATGAATATAAATATTTGTATTATTTTATTATACACAGAAATAAGATAACAATTACAATGAGAGAGAATGTTATTTTGTACTTTATAACAATAATTTTTATTCCATCCATGTGGATGTGTTCCATCCATGTTCCATCTATGTGCAAATATGTTTTAAACATATTTAATAATATTGTTTTAAAAGAAGTTAGTAAAAAAATACATTATAAATAAATAAAATCAGCGTAACCTACTGCTTGTTTCATTGATATAAAAAATATTGTTACATCAACAAGAATTATACCTAGTCAGTTTCTATTAAATTAACTAAGGTATAACCAAGTTTTGTTGAAATTATTACAATAAACAGTTTCTATATAAAAGTAGTAATAAAACAAGACAGTCAATCAACTAATAGATTTTTTTATATATTCTACTTTTGGATGTCAACAGAATGTCTTACGGATGAATGAATTATTTGTATATTGTTATTAAATTCTAATAAAACAGACTGTATACTGTATTTAAGCAAATCATCACTGCTTTCTTAGTTATGAAATTTTATTACATTACAGGATGCATTCGGATTATTTTGGCTCCAATCACACTCAAGCAACAGATCATACATTCTTGAATACAGCTAACACCACTAGATCTGGAAGGAAAGGTAAATAACAAAAATAATACACTTACTTAAGTACTTATTCTGATCGATAAATTCCAACGGTCAAAGCGACAATTAATAGTTGAAGCACTAGTGAAGTTTTAAGTTCTTCGTACTTCGAATTTTATAAGTCACAATTAATTTACTGGGTACAGAGGAATAACACCTAAGTCCTCAGGAATGGCAACGCATGGAGAGTATCACGAGCAAAACATTATAGATTCTAAGTTGTACAAAAAAAAATTCAATATGTTTGTTGTTTCAAAAACTTTTAATGGAGTAGTATTTATTCGCGATTAAATAAAGTATAATAAATTAAATAATTTGTCAAGTATTTAATCATATTCAACTATTACTTATATGGCTACTCTTTGTAATGTAGAAAAAATCATGTGTCTTTAGACAACCTGTGACTAAAGACACAGTTTAATTTTTTTTATAAATTAGATCCCATCTAGAATTGAACTTGGGAAGATTTGTCACTAATTCGGTATTAAATTAGGCGTTTATATAAAACAGAAAAGTATTGATTGTTAGTTTATTTAAGTATTGATTAATTAAATAAACATTTTGGCAGACAAGGCCAATCAGCAAGTGGAATTCGTAAAAGGTAATTGGAACCTAGTTTTTTGTAATTGTGCAATAAATATTTATGACCACTGCACTTGTTCTGTTCTGGAATGACTCATACGTATATTATTAAACCTACTGTTGTGATATGATGTGACGTAATGGAGATTTTTTTATGATTATGACAATAGATCAAAACTTGATAATTTTTGTACTACTTATATCTCAAATGGTTTACATGTAACTTCATAAAGATAGTTTTATTTTAGCATGTAAATGTGATCATTAAGCTCATTTGCAAACTTTAATTACATCGGAGATATCTTACAAAATTAATACACATGCGATCAGAACCGTGTTTACAGATACATAAAATTACGTAAAGTTTTATTCCCTACACGTTGATATTATTGGCACCTTTTTGGAAAATTGACTTGCTTTTTGTGTGAACTATAGCTTTTGTTAATAGTGTTAAGAAATATTTTGCACTATATTTTCAATGTTTGTGCATGCCACAGTTTTGTTTAGTTTGTCGATATTGCACATCCACCAGGATTGTTAAATGTGTGTTGCAATTGAATTTATTCAATTTAGAAAGCACTCTTTTTATTTTATAAAGATTCGCGCAACGTAAGGGTATTTATCAATTAGTTATTTTTTTACTATTTAATATTACTATCAAATAATTACAATATATTTTTGTAAAATTAAATTTGGCCACCAGAGACACAGAGTCGTAGACACAAATGTTGTTATTATTTTTTATTTATATAGAATAATAGCATATGATTACAGTATTCTTGAAAGAGTATTCAGAGGAATCTGATATCTGTTGACAATTGCCATTATAGATAAAGTGCCCTCATACCTACATATTTTACATTCATATTTTACTAAGCACAATTAAATTCAGTATAGGAAATGACAAGACTAGTCTCCTTGTTTGTATCAATAAAAGATAAAACCTTAAAATTTAATAAACAATTCTAAATTTAATTGAATTATAAATAAATATAAAGTAATGTTCATTATTTATAGCATCAGAAGGATATGTACAGCCCGAATGGCGGTCGAACTACGAGAGTGATTATATATACGACAGCCGCAACCCTCGGCCGTTGACGTCCCGCGACCTGCTAGCGTGGGCGTTTCAGATTGCTAGAGGCATGGAATATCTTGCCAGCAGAAAGGTGAATTATACTTATTATATTATATTTATTATATCTTAATATTGAACTAGTGTAATAAGAAAAGATTAGGTTATGTTATACTTACATAGTCTCAGGAAAGATAGACAAATGTATATCGCTTATTACTTACCATAATATTGAACTTGACTAAACTTACCCACATTTTCATAATTAAAATATATTCTATATAGTAAAGGAAGTCTACTGTTACCGAAAAGATTATTATAAATTTATATGACATACAAAAATTAGAGCTTTGACAATTCTGTACTTATTGTTAGTTATATTATATTAGTTGTACCTAAATACGTATTAATTCTCAATGGAGTTCTCTGCAATTCATCATTTATGTAATATTTAATAAGTACATTGTACATTGCAATGTTTCAGGTACTGCACGGCGATTTGGCTGCTAGAAATATATTGCTAGCAGATGATAATATTGTGAAAATTTGCGACTTCGGTTTAGCTAGGAGTATTTATAAAAATGATGAATATCAGAAGAAAGAAAACGTAAGTGTTCATTAAATGTATTTAGAACATAAAAAAAAACATAATTCGTCTATAAAAATTTGAATGTTTGTTTCTAATGGAAAAATTGAAAAATTACTCAACCGATTTAAAATTATTTCACTTATAGAAAGCTGCATTATCAGCGAGTAACAAAGGCTACATATTATTTTCGAAAACTCTATCTACCCGTGCGAATCCGGGTCTTATATCTAGTATAGTAATATATGAATAGTTTTAATAGCATTAATATATTATACTATTCTTATAATTTTTCTTTTTTATTATTATAATTTTATATATGTACGTCCACTTGCCTTTACTGTTACCCATCTCACGCGTTTGTTTTATATTCATTAACTATGCGTGGAAACCTATTATTGGCTATATGTTTCTTATTATATTTTATATTTACTGTTATTGTAGGAAAAGCTGTTGGTTTTCCAAGTACATAAATAAATAAATAAATAAATAAAATCCTCCATATTTATTTACAGAGCCCATTGCCGGTGAAGTGGCTGGCTATAGAATGCATGATGGATAGAATATTCTCAACACAGTCGGACGTGTGGTCGTTCGGCATTGTGCTGTGGGAACTCTTCTCGCTCGCCAAAACACCTTATCCAAATATGAGTCCACAGAGTTTGCTGCAATGGCTCACTGATGGGTAAGTACACATATCATTCAATGTTTATATTTTGCTATCATAAATAAAAAATATTTTTATAAAAAAAAATAGGTGTTGGTCTGTTGGTATTGGTAATGCAATACATGTACCTAGGTACTAAGTAGTTAAATTTGTCTTACGTTTTTGATATTTTAAGTATATTATAAAATGAGGAATAACAGAGGAATCCTCAGGAATGGCAACGTATGGGGGTTATCATAGGCGAAACAGTATACTCTGCTATGTTCATGGTACTGCTCATGTCTATAGACGACGGTTACCACTTTCCATCAGGTGGACCGTCAGCTTGTTTGCCATTCTAAGTTGTATAAAAAAAATGTATATATTCTAAAAGCAGCGTCCCTCTTAAAGCATCTGTAAAAGCCTAACTGCGGTCGCCAACCCACCTATTAACTGTATTGAAATTTTGATATTTAACTATAACTATTATATTTAGCAGTGTAAGTCCCGACATAGAATAGGTTACTTTTATTTTCTTTCCCGTGAGTGTCGTAAGAGGCGACTAAGGGAGCTTATGATGGAAGGATGGGCAGCAGCGTCCCTCTTAAAACATCACCAAAGGCCTAACTGCGGTTACCAACCCACCTGCCAAGTGTGGCAACTGGCAAACCCCTCCTTATGGAGGAGGATATGTTCAGCAGTGGACAGTTAACGGTTGATACTCTATGTTTAACTCATAGCTATACTCGTAATACGATATACTCTTATACGCGTGTTAAAAACAAATAATTTGATGCAACAAAATTTATTATTATAAAGTTAATATTTTTTTAATTTAAAACCGTTACTTGTCTTTTAATAATTAGACACCGACTAGAGAAGCCGCCGTATGCAGACGACCGATTATACGACGTGATGAGGAAATGCTGGGAGCACAAGCCGACTATGAGACCTTCATTTACTCAACTCCAAGAACTTCTCGGATCGTTCCTCGAAGACAACGTTCGAAACGTAAGCTTTTTAACTGTAATATTTCCACTTTTTATCTATGATATAGAATGAGTCACCCCTTCCTGTCCCCTGGATGTTGTAAGAGGCGACTAGGGAAACTTAATAGTCAAGAGATGAGAAGCAGTGCCCATTTTAAAATATCACCAAAATCCAACTGTGTTTGCCAGCACGTCTGCCAAGCATAGCAATTACGAGCATTCCCCCAATGCTGATATGTTACATGCCTATATTGTACAAGAAATTTGCCTATGACAAAGGATATAATTGGGGAATTGTTGGTAAATTGGCTCATAGTTGCAACTTTTTATATAACTTTACGTGATGGATATTTGAAACCCGTCGTCAATATATACAAATATTTTCGAAATAACTATTGAATATTACTTAACCTTGTTAATCAACAATTATGTAACGACACCGTATTTAATTTTTTTTTGTTATTCCAATAAATATTTTAATATCTCTCTTTACACAGCACTACGTGGACCTGAATTCATCGTGTATGGATACTAATGCTAAAAACGAGACTCAAGAGGACTACTTGGCTATGATGAGCTCACCAGACTACAATAACCTTGTAACTCCGAGCCCGCATCACTACGTTAATGAAGTCAGGAGCTTCTTCCCACCATCGCCGACGCAAATACCACATGGTGAGTATTTTATTATTATAACCAATACTTTATAATATAATAAATAGGTCTGAATATGATACATGACAATAAAAATATTTAGTTCCTAGATAAATATTATTTTGTTTTATTCTCTCAATAATAGGCATGTGTGAGATAATTTTCACCATTTGCACCGACATAATTAATTTCAATTGAAAGTCATGTAAGGGACTAACCAGAGGGAAACTTTGTTTAAAAGCCATTTGCTTGCGCACCTCTGTCTCATTCCTGTTTCTACCGTGAAGCAGTTGTGTTTACATGGCTGTGTTTCGGTTTGAAGAGTACAGAGGAATAACACCTGAGTCCTCAGGAATGGCAACGCATGGGGAGTATCATGGACGAAACAGTATACTCTGTTATATCCATCGTAGAGCTCATGTCTATAGGCGATGGTTACCACTTTCCATCAGGTGCGCCGTCAACTTGTTTGCCATTCTAAGTTGCATAAAAATACCTTCTATTATGTTCACACTTTTTATAGTTGTATAGTAGGAGATAGTTTCCTGGAAAATATAATAAGTACATTTTAATTTATATCTTAAACTTATCGATTTTAATCACAGATTTTATTACTAAGATTCTGATACAATGTCTTTATTACGAACATTATGTTTAATTTTCCACAAACTACGAAATACGATCTAGCTCCAATTAATCGTTGATATACATATATTATTAATAATTCGTGAAATATTATGTTGTAAGACTTCTACTAATGGAGCTGGCTGCTTCTAACATATAATATATTGTTATCTTATATAGATAGAGTGTCTCCATAGAAATTCTTCGAGAAAAACGGCTTAACTTTTACATAAAATTTTTCGCGACAAATAGACATGAGTGATTCCTTTATAACTTCTATATTTTTGATGCTTTTTAATGCGTAAACACTTAAATAATACGTCAAGATACATTTTATGCGTAAGTATATAGAACACTGATAAAAAATACGAATCCGCTAATTTGACAATTAATTGCCAAAAAGTTGACCCGTTTTTGAGGCTCGATGCTCTATCTATATAATCTAAGATTGTCATACATACTAATGAAAGTGATACTAGAAAAAATAATAAGGACTAAATGTAACAATATCTATATAAAAACTTGCATTTAAAGATCTTTACTAACGTACATAAGCAAATAGATAGCTGTGTAATGTTTTTTTTTTCTTATTAAAAATATATACGTTATTAAAAATATAACTTTTAATATTTGGTTTACACGCAGCTGAAGCACAGCAAGGTACAATAGGTATACAAGGTACACTAATACGTCTTTATTTTATATTATTTTTTAATAACTTTATATCCTGATATTATTCCCAAAGAGGGTTGACGTCAGGCAGGTGGCCGAAATCAAACCAAATCTTTTTGTAATATGGATAAAATCATATTACGCCGACCCCAAATGATTGGGATAAGGGTAGAAAGATGATGATATCCTGATATTATCTTAAAATAAATATATATTAAAAACTAAAGTAGAGAATGTCATTAGGCATTAAGTCCGCCTTGTAGACATACATATTTTAATGTATGTAAAAGTATAAATAAATAAATAAAATTTAATCCCTTCCCTCCGTCAGATGGTATGGAAATTTCCACTTTGTGATAGCCTACATACGAGGAGCATATTTCATTACGGTAACGAACTCATCTGAAATTTATTTGATGTCATTTCTGACATATATGTCATTCAACTAACATAAGAGTTGTTATAGTATGGCTAATAACAACGGTAATTAGAGTTTATTGTGATAATTCACATTTCGTTTTAATAAACTTTTGTGCACCTATTTTTCAATAATAATTTTTGGACTAACAACATTTATCATATTTTTTTTCTAATACAGGATGTTAAGAAAATTAACAAAACAAAATCCGGATTTAGTATTTATATAACTAAGCAATTTTCTTCCAAGAACTTATGACTAAATATAAAAATAATTTTTAACTTTTCACATTAAATCGATCGCATACCTACGTTTTCTAATACATCCTGTATAATAGCCAGTAAATTTAACTATAAATATTTAATAATGTTGCACACATACATCCTCCTACAAGGTAGTGACTGTCTCTTAAGCTGTCTCCTATATTTTAGTTCCATTAATACGATATGATATTGAGTTCTTGCATGACATACGGTAAATACTCTATTCTGTTCTTTTATCGGCTACCTCGGACGGGAAAAGGGATTAATTGTTGTATTTCCATGTATGCACTGTTATAGTATATGGTAATTCACTTGATACGTAATATATCGGAACACAAGAGTTCTTATTCTAGTCATTAAAATATTTTACCAGTAGATTTAACGTTTACAAATGCATTGCAAACAAATGTTCACTGATGTAACAAATTATATTTTTACTATTACTGTACATTTGCGGTTCATTTACAAAAAAATGTATATCATCAAAAAGCCTTATGTAAATTATTTACTATCTTCGTGTATAAATATTGTTTAACTATTACAGTAAGAGGCGATTTAAAAAAATATTAGTTTATTACCAAAACTGTTATTTCAAAACAAATAAGCTTCAAGTAAATATTTGCAGTGTATACATCATTTTATATATTTATTCTAAATATTAATTACCTATATATATATTTTTAGTAGTTTGGATTTATAATATAATTAATAAACTAATAATGATTATTTAACAATTCTAGATGAGGAGGGATATTTGCAAATGACGCCCGCTAACAAGATGCCGTTTAGTCCAAGAGCACAGAGCACGCAATTCGATTTCGATGCACGAAAAATGAATACAAGGGCATCGGAAGCAAGCAACTGTGGCTCAGAGCTGACTCCAATGTTGACACTGAGCAGTTTGCCCAGGAGTGGCTCCGAGTCAGATCACGAAGGTAACCATTCACCATATCTCAATATGTGCCCGCGCATCGAAGAAGAGGCCGACGAAGTCTTTTTAGATACAAAATCCCAAAATGCTAGGAACATACAGAATAGTGCTGTGACAAATCCCACTTATATCACATTTGGTGCGGACATTGAAAAGAAATCTCAAGATATTAACAATGCTTACATTAATATACCTAATGGTCTAGTCAAATGAGTAAAAACTGTACTCATTATGTTTTCAACGTTATGTTTTCAACGTAAATATGTGTTGTAATGTTTGTTAGCATGGATCTCCTCCGCTTAGATGTTTATTGTGTAACTGGTATTTAAAGCTCAATATTTTACAATTACATTCAATAATTACAATTTATTCTACATATCCTTCGAGTAAAAAACTACAGTTTCTAATTCTTTCCCGGATTTCTGTAATCTCATTCATATAATGTCTCATCATCTCATGTATATTATATTCAGAGTATTGATACGACAAAAGCAGTACATGATGTATAATCAGTGTGGTTTTTATTATTTATTATGGTGTGGTTAATTTATAACCTTTTAAAAACTGCTTGTCCATTAGGACCCTGTGTTGGTTACTTTCTGCAATAATTGTTATTGTAAACATCAAATGTACATCGATATTTTATGTTTCTTATGAATTTCATCGGAATCTTGAGTAGGATAGATAGCATGATTAAAGTATGATCAATAATAATAATGATGCTCTTGTAAATAAAAAAGGGATAGATATGGAACGAATGATGTTATATTTTGTGGTCAAGCACGAATCAAGTCTTTAAGAGTCAATTATTATAATCATTTGCAATTACTTAAAGTATCTATACACTATGAATCAATTTCTATAAATGCTAGTTGGAGAAATCAAGTCAGAAAATATTTTATAATATTTTACGAAAATTAATGGAATCATCACAGTCGATAATGGTTTCTACTAAAACCGTTACTTCTTGAATTAAATTATAAAATATGTTGTTATTGAAAACTAAAATGCGTATAAACCTATATTTGTTTATAAATATACTTTGTTTATTAATTATAATTATACCCACCAAAAAAAGAAAAAAAAATATATAAACTGTCTATTAATTACTTTATCATTCCTTTATTTAACAGTTGTGTATTGTGAGGAAAAAATACTTATTGAAAATGGTAATAGTTACAAAATATTTTATGTATGGATGTCTACGTATATTATATATCATAATATATAATTTTAATAACTTGATAACGATGTGGATAATAATGTTTAAACACGGGTCACTGCAAACTGCTTGTTTTATTATTACGAACTCATATTTGTATATCAATAATGTATTAATGGAATATCAGTTAAACAAAAAATAATTATGTTTCTTAAAGTGATATTTAAATTGCCCATCGATGTAAATAAACCATAAAATACTGTATGCTTTGATAAGAGCATTCAGTATTTCTGTAGGTATATTAGGTTAACATAAAATATAGATTTTTTTAAAGAGCTAATTTTTATTATATATTGTATATGTACACGTGTATGTGTCTAGTCCATATTAATTGTAGTACTTGAAATATTGAATGGCATTATGTTACCAACGGTTTAAAATTGGGTGATCTAATTAAATTGTAAGGAAATAAGTAGATATTAAAAATATTTCAATATTGTTTTTATAATATTGAATTTAAGATTGGGCAGTATGTACAGCCAACTGTAGTATAGTCAACATCAATAGTAGTTAAGCGCAGGTTATAATAATTGATAAATAATCATAATTATATAAAATAACTCGAATGTACGTTTTTATATTCAACATGCAACAAATCTGTATTGCATAAAAAAAAATTAAGCACCAACTTCTTCATTAAATATTAATTGACGATGACAATTTTGGCATAAACTTTAATGGCTGTCGATTTTTATTACTCGAATTTGTAATAGAAGTAATTATATTAATGAGTATTTGTTTCTATTTTGCTGAATGTTTTCCATGTGTAATATGTATGTATTAGTGTATATCGTATGAAATTTCCTATCAAAGAGTCAAGATTTATAAATATTTTTCTTTAAATACATGATTATATTACTTAAAAATCTATATTTATTACATGTAACGAAAAGAAAATATTATATGTAGCGCATGCAGTAATTAAAATTATTTTCCAAATAAGTACTAGATATTCATACAAAATCTAGAAAATGTTTAACTGATTGTATAGTCATGATCAGAGTACTATGTATATTACAGATTATATATGGCACCCATCAGCACTTACAAATCCTTATGCGTTAAGGACATGTTGAGTGTCAAACATTGCGCTCTAGTTCTCGTTTTTCCCCTTCGAACGCAAACACAAACACGATAAATATTGTCAATTCAAAAGTACATTTTTTAGAGAATTTATTTTCGTTTAACTATTTTTGATGTTGACTGTATCTATATTATAGACTGAGTTGGAATATAAAAAGCGATTTATTTTATAATAATGATGTAAGTGATTTAATAGATACAGTAATATCTATTTTTATATATTAAATATTTAAAAATCCTGTAACTACGTTAGTAATGCCTATAAAAATAAATCAACAATTTGTACGAGCAATGTTATAAAGATCGAGCCAGTGAGTGTAGAAAGGAGACAACATACGTGTGATATCACACCTAACGGAGATACGTTGGATATTTTATAATTTGTTTATTTTTATTAAACATCGATTGTTATGTTTATTTTCCTTGTTAACATTGCTTAGTTTATTAGAGAATTAAGTATCGATTCGAATTATTATAAAATTGGCTTTCAGTCGAATTATTATTTCTTGAAAAAAAAAATGTGTCTGAAGGTATGAAATAAAAAAAATAACGTGTAAATGTGTTTTATTTAAACATTAGCTATAATCCACGGTTTTATTCGCCTACATTTAGATAAGAATTGTTATAAAGATAAATTTATTGGATATAAATATTGTTTTGTATCTATGTCAATTTGGCAAACCTGTTACAAATTTCATTTAAATCCGCCAACTGTTTAATCGTGATTTATTATCAAATGTCCAATCACGTTCATATTCTTCCACACTATGTCGCAGCTTTAGTTACTTGAATTATATTACAAGAAAAATTTATATATAATAAAGCCAAATAATGTACTTTTTACCTCCATCGTATTTAGAATAATTTCAGAATTACCATGTTTTCCGTAACCTCTGCAAAATGTTGTCCAAGTTAAATAGGAGTTATTAACAGTTGATAATGGTGTCTTAATCTTTGACTATCCCTACAAAACTATTAATTTCTTTTCAAAATTTCAGTTACCTTAAAAATTTTTAACATAAGTATTTATAAAAAAGCTAACAGTAAACTGCAAATTCTCAATGAAAATATAATTTCTATGAATAAACAGTGTATTTTCGTATCTATATTTTTTACTAAGTTAAGCTAGCATATGTTTAAATAATCTCTTTAATAATATTCCTAAAATTTGTGAGCACTTAAAAAAAAGATATACAGTTTTACGTATTAGGCAACTTCGGTACCTAGAGTTTTTTTTTTTTACGTTACCTACATTTGGATAGAATATAGTAATTTAAACTATACTATTGTTGAATTTTCTTAGTAACTGAGGTGGTATCGTAATATATGTATGTCATTTAATATTATTACTGTTACTTGGGCTGTTAATTTTTAAATATTTACAAATGGACTAAATCTAGATGTTATCATACTATCTTCTTTACATTTCTGCAGGCAAAGTACATCTGTAAGTTTAATTAAAAGATAGCTTTCATCAGTCCTATTACTGTTGCTTCTATTGCATCTGCACCCTGAAAATAATAATATAAACAAAATCTTACAGTGTAAGGAAATATTTTTTCGTTACCTATTTTTAAAACATGATTTTTATATATTTTTTTAATAAGTAATTAAATTATCCCTATTAATATGATAAAATATGAAAGTGAGTTTGTCTGTTTTGGCATATAAATGGCTCGAATAATCGTCATGAAATTTGGCATACGAGAACAACTCTGAGTGTTCGCACTCAATACGAGGCGAGTCGTTGCGACGTAGGCACTAGGAGGGAATGGATTGTAAGTAACAAACCCATTGTTAGCAATACAAGGTGTATTGGTTAGGTCAACCTCACCGTGGTCTCCCCTAGAAAATAAGACGCTAAGTCTTAAGTAAGGAAACTAAAGCCCTGGTGTATTCATCACTATGGGCTAACCGACTTGTACTTTCATTCTCACCTATCAGCCTCAAGTCATCATCATCATCATCATCAAGCAAGAAGTCATCTGAATGAATTTAAAACAATAGATGGTAAACATACCATTTGCGACAATTGTTTTGAATTTGCGAAAATTTATTAACTTTCTAGAACACTAGAAAGTTAATAAAAGAGATTGTTAGTAATGGGATCTAATTTCCCCATAACTAGCAATACACCCTATCAGGTCGACCTTCACGCAGTTCCCCCTGGAAACTATCGTGATCAACTCTAGTGTTCGTCACGATGGGCTAACGAACCTACTTTCATCCTCACCCATTACCCCTCATTGGTGCCCCGCTACCGATAGCGCAGGCAGAGTTACCGTTTCATTATCATCCATTAAAAAAAAAAAATTATAAAATTGGCATAAGTTTTAAAAATAAAAGTATTTTTATTTTATTCTGATATAAGCACCGGGATAAAACTATCTGCAGACAGAACTGTGGATGATACGAAGTCATAAATATGAACTAGTAACAAGAAACTGAACTTACGTCTTTAAAAGCCTCCACAAGACCCATTGGCACGTCGATGAGCATTTTCACAAGACTAGCGAGTGCCTGCGGTCATTTAAAATAATTTATTTGTGCAATAATAATACTGTCAATTAAATAATGATGACCTCTGGTATTGCAGGTGTTCATAGGCTACGGTAACCACTTATCGTCAGGTGGGCCGAATGCTTGTTTGCCACCTCAGTGGTATAAAAGAAAAAAAAATATGTGCGACTGTCTCTGAATAACCAGGTTATATGTTGATTGACCGGGAAAAATTACAACCTATATTCTTCTATATTCTATATAGTTGTAATGTACGTCCAGAGATATCGAAATAAAAATGCAAGATTACTGTTACTTATTTACTGGTCGGTTACAGACTGGATGACATTTTATTTTTTTAGTTACCTTCAATAGTGTAACTTGATACCCTCAAACACTACAATAGTATAAGTACCTACATCAAATTTTGTAACGATTTATGACGATCAAGTGAAATAATTTATTTGATTGAGTTATTAAGGTGCTAAGAGGTATGAAATAAAATTTCGTGAAACTATTAAATTAAAATATTAAATTAAGAGATGGAATTAGAGAAAAGGTATCTCAAAATTGACTCCATTATCTTATCATTTTGAGAAGAAATGTATCAATGAAATAACCCAACTTTTTAAAGATAACTTTATCTGAAGATAAATTGTGTTAATTGTGTAATTGGTGACTTTTATCCCAGATATTATAATTTTATTAATTTATACTTATTAAGTTAATTATCAAAAATATATTTTACGATATTCATGTAATATAAAGATCATTTTGACCTTATTTTTTGACGTTTGATATTTAGAGGTACGGTAATGATCTAGATATTTGCATAATAATTTAAATACATATATATAATACTTACTCCAAAATGTCTAGTTGTATTTTCAGGTATTGGATGAATATTGCTAGTAGTATTATTATTTGTTTCCACTTCGTTCAAAACCATATACATCACTAAAACATACCAACATATCCACTGGACCCACATGTTAACGACATTCTGTGTAGCTATATGAAAAGTGTCTGTTCTTATATTGCTCGTTTTGCATAATAAAACATTATTTCTGGTTGTGACCACTAAAGACGAACCATGTAGATTTTTCCATTAATGAGATGGTAATTTTGTTAGGGACGCTTAATATTCATTCAACATTGCATTCATTTTGAAGTAAAGCAAAAACTTCATATTCTATATTACGTTTTATATATGTAATAAAATGTGGATTGTGATCACTAAAGGCTAGTCATGTAGATACTTTATTTTCCGTAAATGTGATGATAATTGCATTATAAATGTCTAATATTCACAAACTAATTCATTTCGAAATAAAGCAAAGAATAAAGAATGTATAATGTGTTCCGATTAATAGTTAAGTCTATGTTGTCATTGACAATCCTTGGTGTATCTGTATATTATTGTCCTTAATAGGACTTAATTAATGGCCTATTATTAAGCAAGGATCTCACCGATTTCAACGACTAGATGCCCATCGTCTTTGCAGGTCTTAAGGGGAGGATCTATTATTATCAAGTTACCTTGTTTTAATTATTCGTGAGTATATCACTATATAGTATGAAACAAAGTCGCTTCCCGCTGTCTGTCTCTATGCGGGAGCGACTTTGTGAACTTTAAAACTACGCAACGGATTTAATGTGGTTTTTTTATAGGTAAAGTGATTCAAGAGGAAGTTTTATGTGTATAATACATGCATAATATCGTAGAGGAACACTGATAATTTTAGAGGTTTCTAATGGGCCGGTATCGCTATTTAGCATCAGCATTTCACCCGTGTGAAGCCGGGACGGGTCGCTAGTTGTGATATATAAACATTTCGTGCTTTGCTCTACCACTCCACTCAGAATCATTTACATTTATAGTTTTTATATAGTACCTATAACGTTTTGTTAAACCGTTTAGGTATTTACACATAAAATACATATAAAAATAATACTAAAAAATATATCTAAGAAACAAGGAGTGATAGTAACTGCCTTTGCCAGGATATTGTACTTGGCTTAGAATTTAGCTGCAAGCAATTATACAACTATATATGACTATCTAGTCACCAACCTTTTATTCTTATTATAGAGGCATTAAAATTTTAAAGTAAAATTTATTTTTATATTTACTTACTACGAAAGCATATACTTTTACCCCCTACGTTATAAAAAAAGAAGTCACTATGTGATAAAAGTATGCATATAATAATGTGCATATAAATAAGATCTAGCCTCACAAAATGTGAGGCTACATCTTGTTTATATTCACTTACGGAACTAATAGGCTGACTGTACCATTTGAATAAAATAGGAACTGTATGTAAAAATAACTTTTACTAGCTATTTGTTCTCTTCTTCGTACATGTGTATTTCTGAAGTAGGAAAATCAATGAAATAGATCATTTCTAGATAGGGTATCAAGATAAAACATACACCAGATTTTAAGTTAGACCTTCAATAAATATAATTGTAAAATTATATTTAATTTGATGTAGTATTTTTTCCATGGTACCGGAACAAACATACAGACAAAACATCCAAAAAATAACGATTTGCATCTATTGGTCCTACTAAAATCGCTCAAATTATTTTTACCTTAAATATTTCTCCTGTACAAACATAATTTACCTATATTTTAATAATATATATTATATATATTATTAATAAGATTTTGATATATAAAATACCATCAAATGTAAGAGGGGCGTTAGAGATGAATCGCATCAAATTTCAATCAAGATAAAAGTGGAAACTTTTCTATGTCGTCAGTCAAGAGATTTAAAAATTTGGGCACCCCAGTAAAAGATGGTGACCCTTTTTTTACTTTTTTGTCGTTAAACCCAGGGAAGACAGGTGCACTAAGGCTTAATACTGATATTCTTAATTATAATCTCATACTACTCAAATATCTTCTTCATCACATATTGTAGTATATAAAAAAATAAAACAATACATTATTGTTGATACTGTATATAATAGATTATTTATAAAAACTTATTCATACTCAAGACTTAGAACAATATCTTGGCAAATTCAGAAGCTTCGTCGGCAGTCTG